GTGTGTGTGTGTGTGTGTGTGTGTGTGTGTGTGTGTGTGTGTGTGTGAGAGAGAGAGAGAAAGAGAGGGGAATATGGATGTGTCAAACCTCAATGGAGATGGGTGTGCCGGGGTATACCCTGTAGAAAACAGCTCTGAGGTTGAACTCGGGGTTTCCCTCTGCCTTGAAAACTTGCATCCTGATGGTGTCATTCTCACACCGCACTATGGCATACACATCTGGAGCTATGGATCATAACACACACAATACAGCAGGATGTAAAGAAGGAACAAGAGAAGAACAAACACGGTGCCCTCTTCACCCGTCTGTTTGGGAAGGCCGAGTCCTGAAGCCCTGCGGAGGTGGACTGTGGTCACCAGAGTGGGTTGAGGTAGAAAACAATGTAAGACAGAGGGAGACGGCAAATCCTCCCTCAATTCCCTACACACACAAAAAAGATGGAACAAAAGGAGGATGAGCATGAGGGTTGAAGATGAACAAAGCTCAGTTAAATCTGAGAAAGGTACTGTTCCCGTAAACGTGAAAGAAATTATCCACAATATTTTCATATTTTGAGTTTCTTTGTTTTTTTTATTATTTGTTCCCACTTTATTTGTTTTTTTCTCATTCCTAACAGTTTTGTTGCATCATTTGTCATTTTTGGTTTTCTTTTTCAGTGTAAACATATTGTGAGAATACTTGGAACATCTACGTCGCGCACTCTTGCAATAAGGTATATAAATATTGAAATAAATACACTGTATATTTGCCATCTACAACACCATAATGATTTCATCTTTACTATATGAATATTTTACATTTGTTGTTTCACGTTATTTTGACGTAGCAAGTGTTTTTGCCATTATCAAACATGCACACACACAAACATCTGTGACATGGGAATGGCAGAAGAGGCGTAGCAGGAAGCGTTCTGTGACGCCCGGCAGGAAGGTGGTGGGCAGCACGACGTAGCGCCCTGGAGCCAGAGTCCCTGGCCATATCCCAATGTCCCCCCTAAACCCTCAAACCCTGAACCCTCAAGGACTTACTGACATCACCTGGTAAGTGGTTGAGTGTGAGAGACTGTCAGGGCTTGAAATGGTGGAAATAGGAATGGGACAGCACTTTGCTGCAACATATCACGTTACCATGAAAACAACAAGAAATATGATGTATAATTGTGGGTATTTATTTTATACTTTGTACTCCCTGATTTGAACGTCTTCCTGGCTCTTTTCTCACAAGATGAGCGGTAACTTCATATAATCTATTTACTCGTTTTATCAAAACAGCTTCGATGAATAAATAAATATCTTCTGATTTCATGTTTAGTTTTTGTTCCATCTTTAACCCTTAATGTTTCTGAGTAAATTTAATAAGACAGGCTGAACACACGTGAGCCATCCTCTTTGTCTGGTAGACTCCCTGTCTCAGTGACGTGAAGAACATATGACAATGATACAGGCCAATATCACAGTATGAATGTGAATATACATGGATACATTTCGATTATGGATATGATTGATTTTACACAAATATACTTTAAGACTGTTGAAGAAATCATTCAAGTCCAGTTTAGAAGTTGCTGTGGTGAGTTTATTAAGCATGCCGGCAAACTGGTGACCTCACAGACAGAGCAAATCTGAGCCGATGGGTTGACATCGAAAAAATGAAGCATTTTATACAGGGAGCCAGAGCAGTGGTTAGACTATTATGTAAATACGAGGAAACGGAGGTAAGTGGGAGACTATGACAAAGGGCAAGAAGGGGGGCATTCACATTCAGACCTGCAGGAAGGACGCAGTTGGCATTTGGTCATTCAAGGGGCCGACACAGCAGGGGGCCTGAAGTAGCACCTAGGATAGGAAGTCTGGCCACAATGTGAATTCCTCATCAAGACACAAATACATTTTTCTCCCACACAGGCTGCCAATGTGATGGCCTGAACTGTGCCAACATATGCATTAACCTTTTAAATAAACAATGAAATTTCCACTTGACAACCTTGTATTGTAATGCCTTTAGTTTCATAAGAAATTCATATTGCTTTGAGGGCGAGGGCAGATATCAAGGCACCATTAGTGAAACTTGAAATAAATCCAAGAAATGAGATCAAGTAGCTGCAGATTTTTACCCAGAAGGAGAATCAACTTATTGATCAATTTGAGAATTTTCTTGAGCATCAAGTTTGGTGTCATGATCATCAAAATTTGTGTTTTGTTGTACCTTGGGCAACTGAAAAACGAGTTATTTTGTGCCTCTACCAATAGCTGCGCTTTACTTCCCATGTCACTTTTACTGCATTTAAGTGAATATTTAAGACATTTTAACATAAAGTTGGAATGCCTGCCGAGGAGACCGAGGTCTTTTGGAGTGCAGGGAGCACTCCTGAGGACCTTCTTTGACTCTGTGGCATCAACCATTTTTTATGGAGTGGCCTGCTGGGGCAGCAGCATCGCAACAGCGCAGGAAGAGACTAAACAAACTCATGAGGGTCAGCAGTGTGCTGGGGTGTCCACTGGATACAGTGGGAGACAGGATGATGATGGCTAAGATATCATCCCTGATGAACACCTCCCACCCGATGCGGGACGCCCTGGTAGCTCCTACAGCCACCGGCTGATTCAACCCCGGTGTGTGAAGGGGAGGTACCGCAGGTCCTTCATGCTGCTGTCAGGCTGCACAACCACCTGTGCTCCCAGTTGACCACACAAGAAAAATCTGCGCTGAATTAATATTACGTGCAATAAAAAAAAAAAATTAAAAAAATTAAAAAAATAAAAATATGAGTCTGTATATATAATATTTGTAGTTATTGTGGATTTTTACTCGTTAAATATTAGTTACCATTTATACTTTTTTTTTTCCACTACATCTCTTGTTTCCAACATTTACTATGCTGGTGTAATCCTGTACATTTTTCAACTGCAGGACAACAGTACATAATCAAATCCCAGGATGCACTTTGTCACACCCCACTCTTCTTCCCCTGCCCAGAGAAATAAGGAAACCAAAATATCATTAAAAAAAAAGTTTTATTCAAAACGGATAGCAAAGTACGTACAAGCAGAAAGACGCTACTGTTTAGCTTAGGCCGTCGGCCAGCAGGGAGCCGTTGCCCTTGGACACCAGGCCGCCGT